AGGATATTGCTTAATGGAGAGTCGAGATAATTGTCCGACTGCGGACTAGAGATTGTAATTTTACAACAATATAAGTAGCATTTTATAGAGGTTTTGAATGAGAGGAGATCTTTTACTACCTTGTTTATCGCTTTGTAGTTTTGTAGATTCAAAAGCAATAAAATATTTTACGACTGGCTCTTTTTTAACCTTTTAGGGAGAATAGAACGATAAAAAATGCAGGTGTGTGGCTCGAATTGTGTGTGTGATGATCATAAAAGGAAATTTGGCCTTAATTACTGACGCCTCAGATTAGCATTTCTGGTAAATATTTATTTTTAAAAAATATATTTGAAATGGTATGTGATTTATGAGATAAAAACTAAAAAAGACATTTAACGAAAACTCAACCTTTATGAGGAAAAGTAAATATATTTACAAAGAAATATAGTACAGAGGAGTACTAAATAAAGAAATATTAGGGTTATATTAGGGTTGTATATATTATATATAACAATATGTTACTAATCTCAATTCCAGTCTGTTTTTTACATGTTATATTTTAGGCCACTCTCTCCTACATCTCGCCCACATCTCTTTGTCAACGACTTCTCCCAAATTTTCTGTAGTCTTCTTCGTTTTCTCCTTCTTTTTGGATTCCATTCCAATACTTTCTTTGGGCTTGTGTGATTGGGCATTTTTTGTACATAACCGTACCAAATTAATTTTTTGCTAAGCATTTCATCTGTGATATCATGTTTTATCTTTATAATTAATCTCATTTTTTTATTTGTCCTTTCTCGTCTTAATTTTCTCGCTGCTGGTCTCTAGCAGTCCATATCTGTCTGGTTTTTCCATTCGTTTAAAGACCATACTTCGCAGTTATATATAATTATGCTCTTTACTATAGTATTGTATGTACATACTTGCTAGTTTTAAATCTTGTTTTGTTCCTTTAATGCACATAGACTCTGTTTTAACTTCGTTTTCTTCTAGGCCCCAAATTTTATATTCATCTACCATCTTCCGTGTCATATAATCTATATCATCTATATCCTGTGCTACAGTAATTTTATCATGTGTAAATGGCAATGTATATAACGTTATATCGCCATCCACAAATACACCCATGTTTTGGAATTTTTTACCTATGTTTTTCAAGTAGCTAGTGCTCTTTCCAAGAATATTTTGAACAATGTTGGTGACAACTTCCTTATTTTACTTTTGTTATATTAAATTCTGGTATTACAGGTTGCAAACGACCCTTCAGAAAGTATCAGAAGCATTCCTGGCCTAGATGGTATTGCTCCATTGCTTTTAAAAAACTGTATATGTACCTTAACCCTCGTTTAGCATTTTAAAGCTTATTTAGATTCCTGATTTTCCATTTTTCTCAGTATAGTTTTGTGTTTATTTTAGATCTGTGTTCAAAATAAGTTCAGAAAAAGGTTAGGTATGTACAGAAAATGTTTGTCGTATCGTTTTTATGATGTGTAAAAATAGCAGTAGCGAAGTAAATTTTTGCCACCTACAACGATGGACAATATTTTTAAATACATAAGGTATTACGCACCCGTACATATGTATATAAATATAGCATACCTAATATGTGTGTAGGCCAATGTCACATTCTTCTGACAAATACGGATAGTAATTTTAATAGAACATGTGGTAAGAGTATTGTAACAATCAATTTTAGGTGGAAGTAAGTTGCCTGTTGATCAATGTATATTTGAATTTTAAGTAAATGTATTGATATCTATATGGTTTATTTGACAAAAGTAACCTAATTTAAATTTATAATATATATACAGGGTGAGTTTTTAATGCGACGTTGGTCGATAATTCCATTATAGTACAGTTTGTCCAAAAAAGTTTCTTATTATATTTTAAATTACAGATTATGTATTATTATATTATAGTCTATGTACTATTATTTACTTTAAGATGATTTATAACTGGAACCTTTCTTAATTTTCTCTACTACTTCTGCTAATTGTGGAACAGGCCCAATATCCAATGTATGTACACTGAAAGCATCTTCAGAATCCTGACTTTCTTCCCATGTATGTTTTGATTTAATTAAAATAGACGAAAACGTAAAATCCACTGCCAGATAGATTCTGGCCGACGCAATAATCAATTGAATAATCCAGTGATTCTCAACCTGTGGGTCGCGAACCCAAAGGGGGCGCGGTATTATTAATGTAACAATTCCAATTGTTTACAAAAACCATTAACTTTATCACTCGTATCCAATATATGTGTATTGACTCCTTGAAGCTGAATTTTCAAAATATTTAGTTTCTCAAATATGTCAACCAAGTAGCTCAATTTCATCAAAAATAAACTATCTCGAAAAATCTCGGTTTCCGGTCTATTTTCTGCTTTTAGAAAAATAGCGATTATATGTGTTAATTCAAAAACACGTTGTAAAAATTTCCCACGTGATAACCATCTTGCTTCACAATAAAATAATAATGCTGAATTTAATGCACCCATGTCTTTACAAAGTGTAGAAAAGATTCTGGTTTTCAAAGGTCTCATTTTTATGTAATTAACTACTGTTACAACCGTTGTTAGCACAATATTTAGGCCAGGAGACATTTCTCTGGAAGACAAAACTTTTCTGTGGATCATACAGTGTGTCCATATACACATTGGAGACTTTTGTTTCACAAGCGCTTGCAGACTATGAAATTTTACATGCACATTGTAAATTGCACGGGCACCACCTGTGCTTATTCAGACGCAATTATTCCACTCTATTTTAGCTTCATGTATATAATCGTTTAAGATAGCAAATAATGCGAGGGACGTTGCTTTCAGTTCTATTGGTTTGCAAAAAAGTAGTTCTTCTATTAATGGACGAGGCCATGGAAAGACGAGAGACCAGATGGAGAATGGCAGAACAGAAAGGACTGGAGACGTTGGCTGAAAGAAGGATGACGGCCACAGCTGTAAAAATCTTTATATAGATAGACAGATAGGAATAGCCCTTCAGGACTAAGTTGCCTTAGTCAACTCGCGAAAACTGAGCATCAAGGCCGTGTGCGACAAACACTGTCTCGATGGCCAGACCTATCGGTCATTCAGCCATCAAGGAGACCAAAACTTGTTTTGCTAAATTGACGACTGTGTGACCGAGCATAATAAATTCAGTAAAGTAAATAAGGAGAAAAGCTACACTAAGCTACCTCTAGAGTCAGGTGGCCTAACCACAAGTCATTAAAAAACGGAGGGTGTTTCTTATCCCAAATCGCCCGATGTAACAGTTCATAGCCTCCTCTGCGCATGTCAGACGTAGAGGAGGGGTGGAGGAAAAACCTGGCGGTCACATAGGTACCGAGCCAAAATGACTTGCTCTTTTGGAACGAGACCGGTCTGATCTTCGGACATGAGGGTCCCACTGACTAGCAGTGGTACACTTATGTCCCATAGGGGTTGGGATGAACTCATGTGTGTGTGTGTGTGTGTGTGTGTGTGATTCGGTCAGTACAGGGCGGACTGTCGGTAGGAACCGTTCTTGTATTGGAAAAGTATTCTGGATGAAGCAAATTGTACAGATCAGAATGGTTTTGCACCTACTGTACAGATATCCACCACTGTCAATCCCTTAAACAATTCTAAACAAACTAAAATCGTCCTGTCCCGACCGTGAAGTCCAAGTATGTGCATCACTAGGGAAATCAATGCTAAGGTTGTTTGAAAAGTTCGTGCGTACCTTCCGACCGTACCGTCCCAATCCAGTGCATTCTATGCTTAGACATGCTAATATATGCGCAAGACAAGACGTGTAAGCTCTAGAACTTAAACATCTAATCATGACTTCAGCCAAAGGTTCAATAATAAAGCACAAAACATAAATTAATGACATCCTAACAAAATGAATTTAGTGCAAGAGTTAAACGAAGATGACCCGAAAAGAAGATAAAAATTTTGCAAATAAATACTGAAGTGACGTACTGGTGTCAATACTGGGAACGAACAAATCTCACTGAATGACGTAAGCCCTTGCCCCAATTTTTTAAGGTTAATGTATGGCAGGACTTATTGGCATAAATAAAGTCAAAGGTAAGCGAGGAGCCGGTGGAAGGAGAATATCATGGCTGCGGAATTTAAGAACATGGTTTAAGAAAACCTCAACGGAGCTGTTTCGAGCCGCAGCGAGCAAGGTTATAATTGCCAATATGGTTTCCAACATCCGAAACGGATAGGAACCAGAAGAAGAAGAATTGGCATAAAAATTAATGGCCCAATACTCGTAGACGGAAATCTCAACGGTACCAAATATTTAAACTTGTTGATACAGCAAATAGTATCAGAATTATTCGCGCTATTTCGAAATAATAACAACCTGAAAATCGAAACAGGGCCGCAAATTACCGGAATGAAACAATATGTAGAAGTAAAAAAATTTTTGTTTCGATTTTGTACTTTATTTCATTGTTATGCATCTTTTTTTATATTAAATAAAACTGATACTAATTGAAAAATAGTAATTGAGTTTTAGACATTGAACCTTTACATTTTTTGGGAAAACATAAGTGCTCAGCTGATTGCTGTAAACTTTGTACATATATCCTAAAAATGAGTAAGATACAATGTACCTATAGATATCTATTATCTAACAATATATTTAGATCGCCTGATATCTGAAATCTATCTATCAAAATTAATTCATGCCAATCTATACCATATGTATTTAGCCTAATAACCTCTATAAAACTTAATAAATGAAATTATTTATTCAAATTTTCTCGCATGGCATTCTATAGAAATAAATTATATGCATCCCATGCAATCCTTTGCGAAACGTCTATGTTTGCCGGGTATTATTTGTTTTGATTTTAGTTTGACACAATACACACAGGTATATTTTAAAATCATAAAAGGCTCATCCCCCATTAAAGTTATTTAAAAATCATTCGTTAGGATGATTTCTTATACAATATGACCTTTTATTATACTTTACTTATTACTATTTATAATAACCTATAAAATGAAAATCGTTCACTTACCCATTCCATGCCATAAAACTATTGGCGGCACTTTTGCATTAACATCACAAGTTAGATAAAGGATACTCAAGAAAACAAAAAGCCTGGTTTTCATCTTGGATATTTATTTGGTATTGATTGAAGTATTATTATCAATAATTTTATATCATAATCATGTCTCTTGAATGTTAATTGTAACGACACACGTTGCGCGCGCAGTTACATCAGTATAATATGACAATGTGAATATAGCAAGCGTAAACATAGTCGTACGTAGATTTAATTCACAAGGAGTTTAATAGGAGTAATATATTATTATAAGGAGTAATATATTATTTTGATGGAATTAATTAATAGATTCACGTATCACTTTGTTATCACAAAATTATTTAGACAAGCGTAATTATATCACGACGATTATTTACACGTATCCGTGTGAAGTTGCCTGTCTATCATCGGACGCGTCCCCAGGTAGTGGAAAGGGGAAAGCTCTAACAGGTGTAAGGACCAGTGGGTAGGAGGGGAATAAAATACCTCCCGCAAACCAAAACAGACTAAGGTATGGCAACCTAACCAAAGAGTCCCCGGTCCTCTGAGTCTCTGGGTTGGGCGTCAGGCTAACAACCCTGTTAGATAATCTTAATAAATCTAATATGAACATTACAGCTATACAGAAGAATTTGAATATTATATCTACACCTCTGGTGTAGGCTTTGTAGTTAGTAAAAAGTTAGTAACCTAATCATTGCCATCTATCTAAGAATACGTGGAACATTTTTTAACCATAATCTCATAAATACATATGCTCCCACCGAGAATAAAACAGACACTAAAAAAGAAAAATTTTATGAAAAATTAGTACAAACACATAGACAATGTCCCAATAACGACGTTCAGTTCATTATTGGGGATATAAACGCTAAAAGAGGGCAAAAAGAGATGTACAGACTAACCATAGGACCTCATAGCATACACGACGAATGTAATGATAATGGGACGAGACTTGAAAATTTTGCAACATCTCTAAATATAGTAGTATATACTTCCAAGATAAGTAGCCAGCTTACACAAGGTGCATGTAAGTGAAATAGGACGGTAGGAAATAGGATTATTCGGGGATTTGTCCTGTTTTTTGATTGGTATAACAATAGATTCCTTCTGTATTATTGGAAATTTCTGATTGGTAAATATTATGTTGTACAGTATAAACAATTTTTTACGGCAGAAATGGAAAGATTTTTCTGGATATGAAGGGGATGTTATCAGAACCTACAAATGAAATCTTTCAAATTGGAAGAATATTTAAGATTTCTTGTAGTGTAAATGGAGTGTTTAAGACAGTAGAGTCAAATGTGTGAGATTGGAGAGGATATTCTACAGGAGAATTTGTTTCTTTGAGTACATTCTTGATTTTAAATCGCTGGCGCTGATAGAAATTTTCGGCGATTACATTGACGAATTATTGATCATCGGTTACTAAATTACTTTTATGTAAAAGAGCTGGAATTCTTGTGCGCATATTTTTTCCTCGCATTTGATTAATTTTCTTCCAAACTTGAGAAGGGACAGTATTATGAGTTTAAGTGGAAATGTAGTTTTTCCATAAAAGTTTTTTACTTTGTTTTGAAATATACTTCGCCTTGGCTCTAATTTTTTTAAAAACAAATCAAGTTTTCTTCACTTTTGTTTGGCGGTACTTATTAAAAGCAGTTTTGTATTCTTTTACAGCAGTTACTCAACGTTCATTCCACCAAGATGTTAGCTTGTAGAAGTTATTACACTTTTTCCTACGTAAATGTCAGCAGCGCATATAACGCATTTGTTAAAATTATCTACATTATCATTATCTATATTTCCAGAGAAAAAACTTTGTTCCATTTGCCGGTCTACTTCAGTTCTGAAACTTGCCCAGTCAGCATTAGAAATCTTCCACTTTATTACGGCACTCGATGATTTTTCTTTATTATTTATTATAAAGATGGGAAAATGGTTACTATCATATAGATCATCTAAAACATTCCATGTTAGAGAAGGATATATTTTGGAATCACATAGACTTAGATCAATCGCAGATAAACTTCCTGTTAAAATATTTAAATAAGTAGTGGAACCATTATTTAGAAAACAAGTGTCGGTGATGTTTAGTACGTTCTCTACAACTTTTCCTCTGCCGTACGTGGTTTGTGAACCCCGTGCAATATTGTGGGCATTAAAGTCTCCGACAATTACAAATGGTGCTGGAAGTTGAAAGATTAAGTCTGCCAGTTTAGCTTCAGTAGTATTGTAACAGGGTGGGATATATATACTGCAAATAGTTATTCTCTCAGGGCACCATATTGTTACTGCGATTGCTTCTAGGTTTGTAACTAAAGACAAATTTGTTGAAAAGACGTCTTTTTCGACCACAATTGAGGTTCCTTCACTTGCTCTGAGGCACTCTGTTCCTATGTGATAATATCCTTTATAAACCTTAAGATCAATATTATGATTTTGTTGTAGATCAATATTATGATGCTTGTAGGCATACTATATTTGGATTGGTGTTCGATTTTTTGTCGACGACTTGGCAAACGAAATAAAGATAATGATAAGGTTAATGATATTGGTTTATTTACTTGGAATGTGCGTACGTTTTATAGTGCAGGTAAACTAAGAAGTCTGTCCAATACACTTAATGAATATTCAGCAGACATTATACCACTTCAAGTAATCAAGTGGACAAGTAGTGCTAGCCTAGAAAAAAAGACTAAACTCTCTACTACAGGGGAGATAAAAATAATCATATTTTTGGCGTGGGGTTCATCTGAATAAACGACTGAAATCAGAAGTCATAGCTTTCGATCCAATAAGTCCAAGGATATGTAGAATCCGAATTAAAAGCAGGTTCTTTAATTATAGCATTATCAATATCCATGCTCTCACTGAAAATAAAGAAGACGAGGAGAAGGACATATTTTACGAGAAACTGAAAAGCACTTACAGACAATGTCAAAACAATTATTGGTAATTTTAACGCTGAAGTCGGCCAAGAAACTATTTATCGACCCACGATCGAGCATAGTCTTCATGCTGTCAGCAACCAAAATGGTTTACGCCTGATTAAACTCGCAGCATCATTAGCAATGGTGGTAGTAAATACATGTTTTCCTCATAAAAATATGCATAAAGCCACATGGCAATCACCAGAGGGTCAAACAAATACCAAATTGACCATGTACTAATTGATAGTCGACATTTCTCGGACGTACTAGATGTAAGAGCATGTAGAGGTGCTAATATAGACTCTGACCACTACCTTGTAAGAACAAAACTCAGGGCTCGTATATCAAACGCTAAGAAGAGCCAGAGCACAAAATATACAAAATATAATATTGTGCTAAAATCTGAAACCGCTAGGGATAACTACAGGAGGGATAACTACAGGAAATTTTTAACTGAAGAGCTGACAAGAATCGACAAAAATTTAAGTATGGAAGAACACTTTACCAAATGCAAAGAAGCTATGCATACAGCGGCTAAAGGTTTTTTAAAACCTAGCCAGGCTAAAATAAACGAAGATTGGTTTGACGAAGAATGCAGATTCATTAACCAACAGAAAAATGAAGCATACAAGAAACTTCAGCAGCGCAGAACGAGATTAAACCTGAAAGACTATATAAAGACGAGAAGAAAAAAAGGCGTTTAGAAAAAAAAAAGAAAGAGTCATACAAAAACGCTCTAAACCACAACAGAAAAGACTCGCGAAAATTCTACCAGAAGATAAATAGCTGCAGAAAAGAATTCAAACCCAGAGTAACAGCATGCAAAGACAGAGATAGTTCCATAATTAGTGACAAAGAACAGATACTAAACAGGTGGGCGAATTATTTTGAAGAACTGCTTAGCGACAGTCGTAAAGAAGACTGATAAAGGTGTCCAAGAATAGGGTTTTGGCGTAGACGCTACAACTTTGAGCTATACAGAAGTTTTGGGGAACCTGACGTAAAATGTATTACATTAGCACGCCTTCGATGGATAGCACATGTAATAAGACGAGATGAAAATACAACGATCAGAAAAATCCAGTGGAAAGACGATCCAGAGGAAGACCAAAACTTAGGTATCAAGATAACATAGAGGATGATCCAAAATCCATCGAAATTAGAGCATGGAGAAGAGTTGCCAGAGACAGGGGCGAATGGAAGATTGTTCTGAAAAAGGCTTTGGCTCATGACGAGCTGTAATTTATGTTAGCAAATTACAAAAATCGGCACTAATTTACAGAGCGATGTGTACACGTACACTCTCTCCTTACTATCTTTAAAATACTTTAATTTACTAAGCAAAGTGTAATTAACTGTTACTGTTTCTCTATAATAATCTTATATGGTTATAGAGGGTTTTTTTGAAAATAAAAAAGAGCTAATTTTATGTAGTTCTTTTATTTTTGACAACTAACTGTCTATTTGAATAACATTGTACCTTGTATCTTTTTGAGAACATAATAAATACAACGATTTTTTATTGATAATTGTTGTTTTTTCCATCCACACCCAGATACGGACTCTCTGAGGATGGGTATTATATTTTCGAGGGTAAAATATATTCTATGTGAATGGGAGAATGAAAGAAATAAATAGAAACACATTTTTTAAAATTTATTTTTAATAAAATTATGATATATCTAATCAGTCGAATGTTATAAAGAATTATGTACATGGTGTATTTAGGTTTTATAATCTATATTATCCTTTCTAAGGAAAAAATAACAAGCGTATGTTAAGTAGAAGACTCATGTACTCTTCATGCCTAAAGGTGAGCTGTAAATCAAGTACTTTTATTATTATAATAAAACCATATTGATCACACGCTCACAATCGATGGTATCTTACAGTTTATCAAACATAGGAAAAGGTTTTTCATTTACCACATTTATTATGCTGGTAACTTGTATAACAAAGAACAACATAAAAATAGGTTTTTTTAATGCTTCATTCAATTTAACATTTTTTTTTCTTAACTTTAGTTTTAATATAATAATTTTAATCCTGTGTTAAATGATGGTGTTTAAAGATTGTTGGATATAGAAATGTAATGTTAAAACCTGTTTCATCATTATTATTTTAGTAATAAAATAAACAAACAGATAAAGAGCATATTAGGTTAATGGTATACTTAGTTTGTTGTACATTATCTCTCAGCTTTATTTGCATGCGGATTATTAAGTCTTAA